TCAGAATTCTTATGAGTTCGAAGGTATACACTGATGTGATGTCAATCTTCACCTCCTCCCTAGTAAACTTCATTGAACTTGAATGTAAGATTTGAAAGTGGAGAAAGAATTTTTTCTTTGTATGAAAGAGGGAGGTTGGAATGCCCCCACATTGCCCCATCCCTGTGTGGATAGAGTAATTCTTGATGTTTTGAGCTTATTTAAATTTTAAGAAAATAATTATCACTGTATAAAGGGTCTGAAATTTGACGTCAAGTATTTCATCATCGCTAGTTATCTAAGAAACTCCATGCATGTTTTGTGATAATTTCGTCTGCCTGCTTGTATTTTTTTTTTAATGATGCTTTTTCCTCTATGGGAAAAACACACGACTTCTCATGTTCATGAGGGAGGAGATGAAGTCTCATATGGTTGAACTTCATCGAAAGGGTGACGTCGAGCCAAAGATTGCAGGTAATAGTGGTAAGTTGATCCTCATAGATAATGAGGATGAAAAGGAGGTTGGTGATGCCCTCTTTGATACCCCCCATGAGAGTAGTGTCTGTTAAGAAGGAAGCATTTGCTTGAAGATTTTAGGGGACCTGTAAGTTCTCTAAGTCCGAGCCCAAACCAACCTTCTGCCTAGAGAAAAAGGCAAATTGGTTACTGAGGAGTTGATGTTTGAAAAGTCACGCCGGAAGAGTCTGAGGAAAAAATCAGAGACCATGAGACTTTTGGTCCATAATTATTATATTGATAAATTAGTGGCTATGTATTTTGAAGTTGGAATGTATAAAAAAATTCCTTTCAAATAAGCCTTAGCAAATTCTTGTTATGCTCTTAATTTGATATGACAGTATATTTATTATGTTGGGTTGGCTCATAACCTTAAGAACTTGGGCACTTGCATTCCCTAATATAAAAATGGGTTCATTTATATCAAATACAATGAGCTAGTAGCTAAGATGTCATTAGGGGTGTAAACGAACCGAACACGAACGAACAAAGCTTGTGTTCGTGTTCGGTTCGTTTAAAATTTAGTTTGTTTGAAATAAGCTCGTGTTCGTTTCTTAACGAACGAGTCGAACACGATATTAATTATATAACTTATATTATATAAATATACAATATCTATATTAGTATATTACTACCATAGTATATTAATATATTATTATTATTATTATTTTATTATATATTATAATTTATAAAATTTAATGTTTTAAAATATAATAAATTTTTTATATATAATTATTTTATATTATTTTATATTTCAAACAATAACGATTCGAACACGAACGAACGCATCACTGTTCGTGTTTGGTTCGTTTAACTAACCGAACGAAAAAAAATTGTTCGTGTTTGTCTCGTTTACTTATCGAATGAATCGAACACGAACTCATTGACGAACCGAACACGAACTGTTCGCGAACAACGAGCTTTTTTGACAGCCCTAGATGTCATTACCCTTACTGATAAGTGTGTTATTGTCCTTCATCGAGGGAGAAGTTCGATACAATATAATGTACCTTATTAAGAAGAGTATATAAATGATAAATCTCAATTTCATGAATTTCATATTGGTAATTAACACAACATTAAAGGGTCGCATTCTCTTCAATAAACTTATGTTTCATTTTTTCTTAAATTTTTGATAGAGGAATTTTGTGTCGCCTTCATTGTTCTTTGAGTGAAGTACATTTTGTTTGTTATTTTGTCTATGTACTCTCACAATTAATAACTCAAATAAAGTTGTCTTCGATGATGCAAACTTCCTAAATTAAAGGTTGGTCAAGAGGATTACTCTTGCAAAGTTTATATACTTTAATTTGCTTGTTTATAAAAGAAAAAAATAAAGAGATAAATAAATTTAGAGAAGTTCCAAATGCTTTCCTTTATAGTTGTTTTCTCATGACATATTTTTTATAGAATGCCAAAATGGATCACCATTAATAGGGAGATTGTAAGCCTTATGGGAAGCATCGTAGAAAATGGGCATTGCCACTCATAGTTTTTAAATAAAATGACATGCTTTGTATTAGGGAGTGAAGTAGTGAGGAAATTGATTAAAAATGATCAAAAGAAAGGAAAGTTGTGATCTTGAAATAAATGCAAGATTGATCAAGTCATTCATTGCGTAAAACTCTTATCTCAAAAAGCAACTAATAAAATTACTAATTTATTGTTTAAACCAATTAGAGAAGAGAATATAGTACTGGACTTCTGAAAGCCCAACATTAAAATCATGTTTGTTAAAATGTACAAATATGGAGGGGATGAAGGCCTATCTCCCACTTTCTCATTCTCAGTTTTAATTTAATTAAACTCTATTAAAATAATCAATTGGTCATTAATATAAGTGAATATATTTTTTATTAAACTATATAAAATATTCCTTTTATTAGCCCATTTTAAGAACACTTAAATTATTAAATAATTTATAAATTTAAATGAAGAAAATGATTTCCTTAGAAAAGAAGAAAAAATATGAATGAAATATATGGACTATCATGATGAAATACGGTATAAAATAACATATTACCTTCGTTACATACTAGAAATTCTTAATGTAGAGAAAAAATAAGTCTTAGCTTAAGTATTTAAACATATACTAATCCATATGATATGAGTTAAAAAAATTTTACTTGACATATGCAAAAAATATAAAAAATATGTAGATTGTGCCTAGCTATGTGTCCTCATGTTCGTTGTGCCCATGTGCAAGCATGAACATTGTCGCAAAGAGTGTAGTTGTCTTGTATACTCTAGGCCCTCATACATTTAGTCCACCATTTTCTATAATTTAAACTCTATTTTGATATTTTGTAATTCAACAGATCTATAATCAATCTTGAGTAATAGGCATAATTTAAATTTTCTGATAGTTTTTTTCTTTTATCAATATGATCACTTTAAAATATTTAAATGTAAGATTACAAAGACTTTATTTAGTTCATAGCCCCAAGGAGAAGCCCATATTTTCATTCGGGGAGTAATCATGTATTGCAATTTCTCTAGTTTTATAGTTCAATATCACCTTTTTATTCTATCACTTTAGCTTTACTTTTGGATGATAAGGCTTTGATATCTAAAAATAAAGGCCGACTAATATGTTGTCAAAATATCCTTATGAACAAACAAAATCTTGCTACAATGTGAATGAAATAATTTTTCAAGTAAAATTTAAAATTATATTCTCTCAAGTTTTAATAAATTTATACTCAAACCAGAAGTCTCAATAATGCAGGCTAATGACACTAAATTTGATTTAATCTAAGTCAAAAATAAGCTTGAATCAAACACTTGAAATATAATTAAAAGTTTAAATGTATTTTTTGAAGAATAAAACGATCTTCTAATTTTTATGCTTAGTAAATCAACTTTGTTGATGAGAAAAATCTAATAAAAACTTGATTACTCAAATATAAACTTATTAAGACACTAAAATGCTGAAATAGTATTCTATAATCAAAGTAATCAACATAGAACAACAAATAGATTATGTTAGAATTTTGTTTAAAATTGTCAAAGTTTCACTCTAACAAAATGTAAATAAATTCTATTTTCATATGAGGGGGAGGAGTGAGAGCTAGGAATTAAAATTAAACTCATAAAGAGGGTTGCAAGTCGATGGCCATCAATAATCATCAATTATCACCGGTGGCCTTTACAACCCATGCATGATTGTTATAACCAAATTACAATCATTTTATATTTTCGCCTTCTTTAATTTTAGAGGAGAAAAATGCTATAACTCCTATTATATAGTAAATTACTTCTTTTTCAAACTCTATAGCTCATTTATTTTTGGAGTTTTCTAGGTAAAATCTTGTTGCCTTGTACAATTTTACTACTTATGTGTGTGTGTGCTTGTGTATTGGATAATCTTATTGAGCTAATACTTAACTTTACTCCACCCTTGAAAATTGTTTAGCACACAACAACTTAAATAAATTTGATTAGGTTGCCTTTTGATTTGTTAAAAAAGGAATGTAGGATAAAAATATTATATTATATTTGAAATGTTATTTTAAAGTTATGTGTTTCGGTGTAAATAAATGCACGAGATCACTCTGTGTTTATCTTAAGGTAAAATGAATTTAGTGCAAAAGCTTAGACGCAAGGGAACAAACACTGTTAATGGTGGTGGTAGCAGCAGCGATAACAAGTTATGATAACAGTGGTAGCAAATGGTTATCAACGACATGGGAGACCAGTGGTGTTGATGGTGGTTGGGGTGACAAGAGGTGATGCTGGTGGCAAGCAATGATTGATGGCATCAATAAATGGTAATTGACGATAGTTGCAATGATCATCAATTGTTATGACAGGCAATTGCTCAGGATAGACACATAGGTGTGTCATTAATGGCGATGATAATTACAAGTGGCGAGGGTGGACAACTACGAATAACAATGTTTTCAAAATTTTGTCATATCCACTAAGCTTCAAATACACCAAATGACCTATGAAATGAGAGTTTTGTCTTTCAAATAATAGTTTCTAAGTTTTTTAAGGTATTGCATATGCAATGTACACTTTTGCAATTAATTTCGCTCAAATTTGTCACAAAAAAGATTATAAATATTTATTTTTCTTCAAACTAAATATTAATTTTTATAACTACAATATTTGAAGTACTTTAAAATATTATAATTATTTATTTTAAACTGAAAGACCCTCAAATCAAAATTGAAGTAAAATATTTAATTTTCTTATAATGGATTTTTATTGTTTTAAAATAAAAAGTGAAAATTGTGTACCAATTTAGTGATAATAATATAAAGTATAAACAGAAAAAAAAATTAGAAAACTATAAAAACCAAGTAGGCCTTTTTCTAATGTTTTTTTTTCATTTGAAACTAAGAAATACAAAATTAATACCGATCCAAGTTTCGATGCTTAAGCCAATAAGATACGAGCACACGGATCCTGTGTTTTCCTACAACATTCTTCCGCCGTTCGATTTCCACTTCACGGCTTTTAGCACGTTTCCGTCACCCTTGCACGTATAAAGCGTGCCGATTACGGCTTTTCTTCCATAAATCTTTATTTTCTCTAGATTTCCGGGTCGCTTTGTCTGCGGAGAGAAAGGAAGGCAACCGTTGGCAGTCTTTTTCCGGCGATGGCTCGCCTTGTCTGCGGAGAGAAAGGAAGGGGTTGAGCAACCGTTGGCAGTCTTTTTCCGGCGATGGCTCGCACGAAGCAGACAGCTCGTAAGTCTACCGGCGGCAAGGCTCCCCGCAAGCAGCTAGCCACCAAGGTATTAATGGCTTCAGTTCTTCATGTCTCGAATTTCTTTTTTTCTTATGCATTATGTTTAAATGTACGTTTTCTCCTTTGTATAATGAAGGCCGCAAGGAAGTCTGCGCCGACTACCGGGGGAGTGAAGAAGCCGCATCGCTACCGCCCCGGAACCGTTGCACTTCGGTAAATCTGTCATATCTTTCGTTGTTTGCTTTATCAATTAACTTCAAACCGCATTCTGATTTTGTTTTTCACTGGTCTTAAAGTGAGATTCGCAAGTATCAGAAGAGTACGGAGTTGCTGATCCGTAAACTGCCGTTCCAGAGGTTGGTTCGTGAGATTGCTCAAGATTTCAAGACTGATCTTCGGTTTCAGAGCCATGCAGTGCTTGCACTTCAGGAGGCGGCTGAAGCCTATTTAGTTGGACTGTTTGAGGATACCAACCTTTGTGCCATCCACGCCAAGAGGGTCACAATCATGCCTAAGGACATTCAGCTTGCTCGTCGCATTAGAGGCGAGCGTGCTTAGAATTCCTTCTTCCGACCTTATGTTTTTCTAGAAATTTAGGAACTTGTTTCGTGATACCTGGTTCTGTTAACCTGAACTAAATTTCCTTTTATTTGACAGACTTATTTGGCTATGATGCTATGTTTTGTGTTTTGTTAAACTTTTTGAAGAGTTATTTGCTATTTGGTAGTATTATTAAATCGTTTACATACTGGATTTTTGTTGTGTGCGCTTGTTGCGTGCTTTCGATATGCGCTTAACATTTTGTGCAGCCATTCTGTATGTAGCAGGGACATTTTTATTCAATATGTATCTTATTTCTGGAGTGTCGAAGTTGCTCCTTTCCACCTTAGAAGTTCAAGGTTTCTTTGTTTTGTGTTTGATTCTTCATTCAGGAAGTTAAGTTCTTTCTTGAGAGAAAAGGTGATTGATTGATAACAGATGTGTGAACTGCCATGCTTTAAATATGTTTCGTTTTCTTGAGGTTATTCTGAACAATAAATTGATACGCGTGTTGTGTCTGTTTCCCATAAACAAATGGATTAGGATGTTGAAATTCATGATCGGTTAGGAGCTAGGCTATCATGCTGCGGTTTTTTGTTTTGCAACAACCCATCAACAACAATGTTTTTGTTCATAATTGAATTCGGACAGACTGAGCTCGACTTCATAACAGTATATGATGAGTTTCATCAATCACATTATAATTTTTTGAACAAAAAATTATTTTTTGGAATGAAATTCAGCTTGCGTGATACCTAACCGGGTATTAGTGGGGGTATATCGCTTCAGTTTAAGTGACGGTGTTGAAGGTTCTTTCTTGAAACATTTTATTTTATTTCGTGGATGACGTTGTAATTCTGCATTACAACTGATGTATATATCATTCACTAGATCATGTGTATAACAACCTCTTTTACAAGGATTCAGACAAGTGGGTTAGTATAGCTTCAGTTTGCGGCCTTAACGGGTAAGAACGATAGGGTAGGCCAGGAAGGAGATGCTAGTTTGGCAAAACTTTGGTTGAAACTTGTCTCAATTACAAAAGCCTCAAACTTGTATCTTGCATAAGAGTAAAGGTGGATTTGTTTTGAACATTGAGAATATCTGGTACCTTTATCAATTTTGTTTCAATATGATGCAATAGTGTGTACTATGTGCTTCTATGCAGTGCATTTTATTGTTTTCCATTTGTAAAGTTTTTATCAATATTGATTTTTTTCTTTGACGACTTTTTACATCTTTAGGAGCATTGCCATGATCGGGTTTCAAGTTTCCTGTGTGAGAAGTTGAAGATCTTTTAGATAGATGACAACTAATGTAAAATTTGTTGCAAAATTGACTTGAATCTTTGAAATTGTTGTGTAAATGTTAGGGCTTCTTTTGAAAGTGATGCATTGTATATCATGAATATGAACTGTGTGCAAATGTTGCTACATTTCTTGAGTGTAGTGTTAAATAAGGTAACTAATTTTACGGACTCATATGAGTATGTTAGTCTTAAATTAATTTTAATATAGAATGTTTAGAATACAAGGCTTGTAAGTCAATGGAATTAGTTAATTTATGATTAGGTCTCGTGTGTGAGATGTTGCAAAATTGATTCGAATCTTTGAAATTGTTGTGTAAATGTTAGGGTGTCTTTTGAGAGCGATGCATTGTGTATCAGGAATATAACCTCTTTTACAAGGATTCAGACAAGTGGGTTGGTATAGCTTCAGTTTGCGGCCTTAACGGGTAAGAACGATAGGGTAGGCCAGGAAGGAGATGCTAGTTTGGCAAAACTTTGGTTGAAACTTGTCTCAATTACAAAAGCCTCAAACTTGTATCTTGCATAAGAGTAAAGGTGGATTTGTTTTGAACATTGAGAATATCTGGTACCTTTATCAATTTTGTTTCAATATGATGCAATAGTGTGTACTATGTGCTTCTATGCAGTGCATTTTATTGTTTTCCATTTGTAAAGTTTTTATCAATATTGATTTTTTTTCTTTGACGACTTTTTACATCTTTAGGAGCATTGCCATGATCGGGTTTCAAGTTTCCTGTGTGAGAAGTTGAAGATCTTTTAGATAGATGACAACTAATGTAAAATTTGTTGCAAAATTGACTTGAATCTTTGAAATTGTTGTGTAAATGTTAGGGCTTCTTTTGAAAGTGATGCATTGTATATCATGAATATGAACTGTGTGCAAATGTTGCTACATTTCTTGAGTGTAGTGTTAAATAAGGTAACTAATTTTACGGACTCATATGAGTATGTTAGTCTTAAATTAATTTTAATATAGAATGTTTAGAATACAAGGCTTGTAAGTCAATGGAATTAGTTAATTTATGATTAGGTCTCGTGTGTGAGAAGTTGAGGATTTTTTAGATAGGTGACAACCAATGTAAAATTTGTTGCAAAATTGACTCGAATCTTTGAAATTGTTGTGTAAATGTTAGGGCGTCTTTTGAGAGCGATGCATTGTGTATCAGGAATATAGTGAATAGTGTGCAAATGTTGCTACATTGGTGCTTGAGTGTAGTGTTAAATAAGGTAACTAATTTTACGACTCTTATGAGTATGGTAGTCTTAAAATGATTTTAGTATAGAATGTTTAGAATATAAGGCTTGTAAGTTAATGGAATTAGTTAATTTATGATTAAGAAAATAAATATTTTATGCATTAAAGAAATTAAATTGGTTGGAGAAAAGTTTATAGAGATAGATAGTTTAGGTTGTAAACTCGTGGTATTTAGGTAGGAGTCACAATATAAATGATTTAAATAAGTTGAATATGAGCAAGCCTAGACTTAACTCCTGTTCAACTCGTTTGTTTAGTTAGCCGAACACGAGTTGTTCATGAACAAATAGTTGTTTTGACAACCCCAATTTCATAGCCATAAGATAGTAAGAGTTGGGGGAAATTTTAAAAATTATTGTTTATATTAAAATATCATTTGAATCTAATTTAATAATTTTTATTTTATTTTCTTAATTAATATCTCTAATTGATTGTAAAACTTTGTAGCGTTGTAGTTAATTAATTTTTTTAAAATATTACTCATCAATATATAATTGATGAATAGTATTTCAAGTCAAAATTAGCATAACATGTACGAATAAATTTTTGTTTGTGTTCGACTTGTTAACTTATCGAATGAGCCGAACACAAGATTCTTAACGAGCCGAACATGAGCTGTTTGTGAGCGATGTATTTTGATAGCTTTAGGTGTAATTATAGCCTTTAAAATTAGTATTGATACTAAAATTATCTTATAAGTACTTATGTTTAGGTTAAAATATATTTTAAAGAATAATTTTGAAATGACCTTTGAATTAATAAACTCATACCTCTTGATGAATTAATTTTTATTAGAGAAGATATAAGTGGGCATGTTGGAATAGTGGTTGAAGATTTTTGAAATATTTATAGTAGTCAGTGATTAATGAAGAAGGTAAAACCGTATTAGATTTTGATTTAGTATATAATTTTGTATTGTAAATATTTTATTTAAGAAAAAAGATGTCCATATTATTATTTATAAGAATTGATCTAATAAAAACATGTATACTCGAAAAAAGTTTGTGGCAAGCTGCAGTTTGCCTTTGTTAGATAGGCAATCCTTGGCCGATTTTTCCTCAAATTGAGAGGAAAAACTATGGTCTATTTTTCCTCTGAAGGGTCACTAAAATATGAGAGCAGAAACACACCAATACATAAGACTAAAATATCAAGTACTACCTTTTTTAAGCAAGGACAATGTTGTAATTTAGTTTATAGGCTGCCATGTAATGAATGCCTTTATGGGAATAAAATGGGCTAGAGAACTATGAGAACATCTCATTTCCTCCAACGAAAGAAGTGTTTTGCTTCTCCCTCTCTCTCTCTCTCTCTCTTCGATCTAACGCACTATTTCTTGGGCACCGTTTGCTAAATAGATTTGTCGATCTAACACTATTTCTTGGGCACCGTTTGCTAAATAGATTTGGATTGAACACCTTTTAAGGTACGGGCATCGTGGATCATGTCATCAATTAGAAGATGAGCAACATTGAACTTAGAGATGGAACTCTTTAGAGAAACATTCCTAGCAAATAGCACACAGGGAATTGACAGCGGATTTACTCCATGTATATCTTGATGTTGGCAATCTCCCAAGAAAACTATGTGGATATGTGAAAATCTTGATGCTACATTTGGAGGAGCTACAAGTATTGGAGGATTGGTTTGATGCAACAAGAGCCCAATTGAAATCCTCGCTAACCACGCAAAGCTGCAAGAGTTGCCTCCCGATCTCAAAAGTAAAGATAAGCTTGATGGGAAATTGATTGAATTTGTATTTTAGTAATGCTTTGGTAAAAATGTCTAATGGTTGATCTTGAGATTGAATGTGATTATTCTGATTTTTGCTTGGAGTTAATGTGCTCTTTTAAAAAGTGATAGCCAATCTCTATGTGCTTCGCCTTTGCATGGAAGATCGAATTATTGGCTTAGGGATGTGGTTGAAATTTTATCACTATGAAGATTTTTTTGTTGTTGAAGAGTGACACTAGATTCTTGAATAAATTTCGAAGCCACATAACATATGTTGTGGCAGTTGATAGTGGCAACAATATCCAACAACACTTTACAAAAAACTGTGTATTTAGAATCCATCTAAACCCAATGAATTTCAAATACACAGAAATTGAAGTGAGGAATTAATTCTAAATATATTTTTATTTTTTACAGCATTTGGAATTCTTCCGACAAATCTCTTAAATTTTCAAAACATCTGTAACATGAGTGCAATGTACTCCTTTTGCAGCAGGTCAAAGGGCCACCAAACTTTCAAATTATAATAATAAAATTACATTGAAGTGAGGTTAGGTGTTTACCCACTTTGAAATATTTGTTCATTTAAGGATAAACTTAATTTAAAGAGTTTATAATTTTATGGGAAGATGGATCGAATGGAAAAAAATTAATTTTTCTTTGAAATTGCATTCCTAAGGTATATATAGCCATAGTAGAATATTTTGGATATGAATCTAGGTATTGTTCTATTTTGATAATTGTCACAATGTTGTTATATATTAGTGGGTACCAATGTAGTGTTGCTGCTAATATCCTCCAGCAAGCTAATAGTTCTTGGAAGGATTTTACGCTTGATGTGAAGCTAAATGAATTTGTGTTTCATTAATGCTTTGGTAAAAATATCTACTAGTTAATCTTGAGATTGAATGTGCT